CCTGGCCCTGTGCCAGCTGCTGAAGAAATTACTCCAAAATTCTCCTCTTGCTGGGACCTCTGCCTGCCAGCCCTTTTTTCAGTCCCCTGCCTTCTGTTCTGGCCATGCTGCCTCCAACCCAAACCCACAGAGCTGGGCCTTGCAGTGGTTTCCCCAACCCTGTAGGGCTGCTCACGCCCCTACTTTATCTCTCCAGCAAGCAGGAGAGAGCCTAGGCAACCAAAGCCTGTCACAAACTAGTCACCTTCTCAGCCCTTCCATACATGCCCTAATCTCAGCCTATCCAAGCCCGCCTGGTTCTTCAGAGTCATCCCCAGTGGTGCTGCCTTCTTGCCTTCACTGGGCCTCGATGGATGATCTTTACCCTAGGAAGCCCTTCCTCATTCCCCTCAGCCAAGAATCATAAGGTTTGGCTTTGAGTCTGCATTTGCAGTGTTGCTTTATCTGTGAGCAATTGGGAGCCATGGAATGCTCTTGAGCAGGTGAGCAACACATTCAGAGCCACACTCTAGGACAATGGATCAGACTTTGTATAGGATGGAAACAGGAAGAGACAGCAGGTGGGGAGGTCAGGTAGGGAGCCATGGGCAGTAGGGCTTTTGGAGGAATGAGGGTCTAGTCTTCCTGGGCTGCTTCTCCCTTCTCCGCCCTATAGTCTTCCACCTATACAATTAGATCTTGTGATTTTCCCCAGCATGACTCAGTGAGTCAACGGCAGAGTCGAAACAAGGACCCCATGCCCTGACCTCTGCAATGCACCTACTTAAGCCCTGATGCTCAGCACCCCTCACTCCCTTTCCCTTCTTCTACAGCACCAGGGAGGCTCTTTTGACCTATGGGGACTCTGCAGATGATGGGGAATCAGAAGGAGGCTGGACTGTGCCTTATAATCACTGCAGTCTGTGCACACCAAGCACTTGGGGCCCCGAATGCCAGGCTCACCAAGCCTCTGTAGAGCCCAGCCAATGAGCAGCACACAGCAGTGCTTCCTCATTCCCCACTGGGTGAAGGAATAAGCCCATATTTCCTCTATTAATCCCTACAACCACCCTGGGAAGTAGATCGTGTTTTAAGTCTTGTCTTGCAGGCAGTAAAAGTGAAGCTCAGAAAGACAAGAGACAGGTCCAGGGTCAGGCAGCCACTGGGTGAGAATTCCAACCCAGACCTGATGCCAAAGCCAGTGCCCTTCCCCCAGCACACACACAGCAGCGGAAGGGATGCGAGCGTCCCCAAGGCCATTGCAGAAGCCAACAGTTGGAGCCCTGGGGCGTCTTGGCCAGCCCTCAGACTGTGGAGCACCTGATGCTTAGCCAGTCCTCTGGTCCTGGGAGCCCCTGCCTGGACTTGTGCAGAGGTGAAAGGGAGGGAGAAGGGGAGGCTGACCCTCAGAGGGAGCAGGGCTTATGTAAGGAGCTAGAGTTGGAGGGTCTGGGTACCTGGGTTCCAGTGCCACGCCTACCTCTGGCTTGCCATACAACTGCAGGTAAATCCTTCCCCTCTGGGTTCAGAGTTCTCCTCTCTGAGATGAGGACAGCATGTTCTGTGGACTCTATCAGCCCTTTCTGCCAAGGCTCAAGTATTTTAGAGCCTGTGTCCAGATGAGGGTCATGAATCTGGGGGAAATGGAATTAGAAGTTGGTAGGACTCCCTCCCATGTTTGTGGAGACTGCAGCAGGTGCTGTCCTACCCACAGAGGAGATCCACCCTCATGGGTGGGTTGCCGTGGCTGAGTCCAGCAACCCCAGGGGCTGTGGGGGTCCCTGGAGTCTCCAGTTGCTGAGAGCAGTGAGTATAAGCATAGACCTCAGCTGCCTCCATTCACATCCTGCTTTGCCACTCCCCACCCGTGTGACTCTGAACACAGTACTTACCTCTCCGTGCCTCAGTTTCCTCCTCTGTAGACAGCAGTCACACAGCAGGAGTGTCAGGTAAAGGGCTGGGTTCAGCGCCTAGCAGGTGCTGTTAGTGGCAGCCGCTATTATTGTTTTGGGCCCCGACCCCCACAGCTCCTGCACAGAGGTGGGTGCTGCAGGGCTTAGGCCTGCACAGGGCCTGCCCAAGTTACCCGACTGGGTTGGGAGTCCTCCTTCCTCCTTAGGAGGGAACCTTGAATTGGAGTGCTCCTGCCAACTCCTCCCTCCTGGCTTGGTAGCGTGAAGACAACGCCGGCCAAAAATATTTGTGTGGGTGGCGGAAAGTTAACTTTTCCGCCTCTCTCTTCTTTCCTGGAAACCGTGGCCACCGTCAAATACATCAAAACAGAAGCAGGGATAGAGTGAGGCAAGGCCCCTGTGGGGAGTCAGAGGAGCCCTGCCCCCTCCCCACACCCACTCCTTCTGCCTCCAGCCATCTGGCTCTACGCTGAGGGGATGACAGAGGGGCTATCCAAGTGCTTAGAATCAGGGGATCCTGCAATGTCGGAGTTGGACGGATCCTCCAGCATCATCTGGCTCAGTCTCACCATGGTGTCCTCCGGGAGTCTGACTCCAGAGTGCAGAAGGCACCTGCCACAGTTCACACAGCCAGTCCTGTCTCTTCTCAGTGTTGCTGGCCTTTGTGAGATTCTAAGATTCTTTGAAACCCAAATGGCAGAAATCTGGCAGCAGTTGGTGAGTGAAAAAGTACCTGGAGATGAATGAGGGCCTGGAGCCTCTCCTCCAGGTCTCTGAATCCACCATCATGGTCAAGGTGTCAGAGCGAGGTTAGAATCCCAGCCTGGCCACTTATGAGCTGTGTGCCTTAGGCAAGAAGTCACTTCACCTATCTGAGCCTCAATTTCCTCGCCTCTGAAATGGGATAATAATAACGTAATTCTCTCGTAGGGTTGATGTGAGAAAGTACTGCAGTAACCTAAGTGAATGACCCAGGATGGAAGAGGTGCTTCTGTTCTTCCCCCGGGGCAGAAGGTGGGCTTCTTTCTCCTCATTTCCCTGCCACTGAGGCTGCTGTAACAGGTGCCTGGTTATCTTTCTGATCCGGACAGTCGTTTGCCTTTCCCCTGGCCGGCTCTGATTCGCCCTGGGGCTTGGAAATGCGCTTATCTGTCTGCCTGCCTGCCAGACTCTCTTGGCACAGTCCCAGCCAGAAACCAAGACCTTGACCCAGCCTGTTGCGGTGGGAGGTGCCTGACCCCTGCTTGGGGGCGGAGGCATGACCACAGCAGCTGAGGTCAGTCCAGGTCCTCAGATCACCCATGTCCACAGACTTTCACAATTTTCAGGATTCTCACTGCTCCCCATTTTGCAATAGGATAAGTGAGAGTAAGATCGTTCACACTTGCCTGAGTTCACACAGCTAAGTAGCAGCAGAATCCAGTCTTTAAGCAAGATCCCTTGTTTCCAGGGTTTCCTCTCAAGTGTAATTGGCCATCTGCTCTGTCTTACGCACTACCTGCCCATCCTGGGGCATCTCACCCACCTCCACCCTTTGCCTCCACAAATGATTTCTAGATATTTGTCCCCAGCCTGGAATTCTCCCCTGTTCTCTAGACCCCTGTGTGGAACCGCCCACTGCTCATCTCCCCTGGAAATCCGAAACCTAACTCATCTCCCTGCTCCACTAAACAGCTGCTCCTTCTCATTTATTCCTGATCTCTATTAACAAAATCGCTGTCACCAGAGCTAGGAACCTGGGCTGCATCCTAGGCTCCTCCCTCTTCTCCACACCCACTCTCCATCTGCCTCCAAGCCCAGCCAGTTCTTCCACCCAAGTATCTTTCCCATCTACCCCCTCCTCGTCATCGCTTATAGAAAGCCTCCATTCCCTCTTGCCTGGATTATCATCATTCTTAACATTTATATAAATAATCATACAATGATTATTGTTGTTCCTGCTATCATTCACAGCTCTCCTCACCACATTTTAACACTTCTTTATCCCTCTGCTATATCCCCAGTACTTTTCATGATGTCTGAAAAATAATAGGATCATAAAAAATTTTGTGGAATGAAAGAACAGCCAACATGTATTGAGTTATGGCTTAGAAACGGCGCTAGGTCCTCTGCATGCATTTTCTCAGGTAATCCTCAATGCAACGTGAAGTTAGAAATATTACAATACCCATTTTACAGATGGAAAAGTGGAGGTTTAGAGCAGTCCTGTGACTGGCTTGCTGATTGTCACACAGATGGCAGAGCTAGGATTCTAACTGAAACGCCTGGGCACAGAAACTGAAAGCATGCCACTGCACTGCATCTTTTTTTTTTTTTAACAGAGTTTTTTGCTCTGTTGCCCAGGCTGGAGTGCAATGGGGAGATCTCGGTTCACTGCAACCTCCACCTCCTGAGTTCAAGCGATTCTCCTGCCTCAGCCTCCCAAGCAGCTGGGATTACAGGTGCCTACCATCATGCCCAGCTAATTTTTGTATTTTTAGTAGAGATAGGGTTTCATCATGTTGGCCAGGCTGGTCTTGAACTCTTGACCTCAGGTGATCCACCCGCCTCAGCCTCCCAAAGTGCTGGGATCACAGACATGAGCCACCACCCTCAGCCCGCACTGTGTTTCTTGTTGCACAACCTCCTCCAAGGGCTCCTATCCCCAGTTTGCATCTGAGGTCACACCACTCCTGTGATTCCTGTGGTGTAGGTACCTTTGCTGGGACATGAGCGAATTCTTTCTAGGTGGTGTCTAGATACATGTTGTTAAATAACTAGATATTTATTTAATGTGCACTGGGGGAAAAGGACTGAGCACAATATACTTGTGGTTTCTCTGCAAATGCTACTTAAGATAATTCTAAAGTAACAGAAGTAAGTGATTTCAAGTTGATTAAAGGAAAAATATTAAATAAAGTTTCAGGTAGCATGAGGATGTGGTGAAAATCCAGGATGTTAAATGACTGGAGCTTTCGAAACACTTCCCTATGGAAGTGTGGAACCTGCACCCCAAATGCTGCCGGCCAGTTCTCAGGGTCACCTGAAGATGAACAGGCCTCAGAAATTCAGCCTGGAACCCCCAGTGAGCTGTCTCATGTGCTGTTGCTTTCTTCCCTGTGCAGATAGATTGCACTGAAGGGGTCTCGCACCAGACACCGGTTAAGAAGAGGGATTGGAGGTCCATCACTTCACTAACCCAGGAAGGACTTATCTTTCGCCTCAGCCAGACCTCACCCCAATTCTGTGAATCAGCGGAGGAAGGCAAAACTGCAGAGTCAGAGGAGGCTGTGCAAGGAGCAGAGACCAGGGCTCACACAGGTGGCCCCAGCCCAGGCCCTGGCCCAGGCCCAGGAGCCTGTTTCCCTGCATCGCTGAGGAGGAACAGCACCATGCTGGGTCCTCACCTCCCATCTCCGCCCCTTGCGCCCAGCGAAGGGAGGCCTACCCCCTGCGCCTTCCAGATCCCTGATGGAAGCTACAGGTGTCTGGCTCTGGAAGCCGAGGAGAGCAGCGGTGAGGAGGGCCTGCAGGGAGAGGCGGGGCCTACCGACCTGGAAGAGGATGAGGGGGTCAGCAGGAGTGGGGACAGCTCTGCCTGCAGAGTCACCCAGGGTACACCGCAGCTGCCCAAAGCCCTGGGCATCCAACCACCCAGCTGCTCCAGAGAGGAACAAGGGGCGTCCCAGCACGACGGCAGGGCCAGCCAGGACCGGGATGTAGTGAAGGCCCGGCAGGTGATGACAGCCAACCCCAGCCCGGGCCCTGGGTCCAGAGTGGCCCAGACACCAGGTAAGCTTGTGTTCCTTTTCCCTTGGACTACCGGAGTCACTGGAGACCCCTCAGGTCCTTAGTACAAGGGCTCCTGACCATATTTTTCCATGATTCACAATAATTCATCACAGCCCCATGGGCATGCCCAGATGAACAGCTGCGGAGAGATAGGAGCGATTGGGAGCTCCGTGCAGCTCCAGCTGCACCACATCTAACCCCACTCCTATCTCTGCCAAAGAGGGCACGTGAGAAGGCAGTGAGAGAAAGCCACATTATCTTGCTTGGTCAAAAAAAAAAAAGCCCATTTCCCACTCTCGTCTGCCTTTTAATCATTAGCGGCAACAAATCACTGTGGTGTCCCAAGCAACCGATGGGGCAGGACCCTCTCATTAAATGTATTGAGTGCTGGCTACATGGGGGTGCTGGGGACGTGGCACTGGACAAAACAGATGTGGCTGCTGACCTCATGGAGCTTGGGAGGTAGAGACTGAAGTCTTGGATAGAATTTGACCTCCCAATCTCACAGGTGGGGAAACTGAGACTCAGAGTGAGGAAAAGACAGCTGGAGTCACTCAGCATGTTAGTAGTGGCTGAGCTAGGCCCGTGTTCCTCGTCTAGGCCTCGGTTTTTCATTTGTTAGAGATGACAGGGGCAGATGGAACACCACCTAGGCTGCAGTGAGATCCCATGACAGCGTGTGGGGAGCGCACAGTGTGCGCCGCGCGGAAGGAAGGAAGGGCAGGAATGATGATAATTTTCCTGCAGCGGCTGCTGTCTGCAGAGCAGGGCGGGACAGGGAAGCCCACGCTGAATCACCTCCGCAGCCGGCCCATGGAAACGCTGAAGTGGGTCCAGATGGGGAGGACGTGAGCAGGGCCATGCTCAGCTTAAGCAGGAGCACAGCCAGTAGATCCTGGGGGTGCAGGGCATGCGGGGGACACAGTCCTGGGAGGGCTTGTGCGTCAGGAAACTGAAGGAACACTTCATTTCTCTGCAGGCGTCGTTGACGCCCGGCTGGCATATCACCAGCCTTCCCGCCCACTCTTCTCTCTGAAATAATTCTCTCCAGGCTCGGATCGCCCCCCATGGCCACCATTGTCTACCAGGCTAGGGTCACACAGGGGGCTAGGCAGGAGCAAGAAAGGACTTTTAATCCCTCTAGGGCAGGAAGAAGGAGGACCCCAGGGAGGCATTGCAGTCTTGAACTTGAAGGTGGGCCCTCACACCACAGTCAGCCCAAATTTGATCTCCTAGAGCCTGAAGTTCCCAGGACCTGCTCCCATCCCTCTCACAGGCCCAGACTGGGGGTCAGGAGACATAGATGCTTTCTAGACCGGATGTTGCTGACTAGCCAAGCCCTAGCAAATCCCTTCCCCTTGGTGAGCTCTACTTTCCTCCTCTGTGAAAATAAAATAAAAATATGAATCTTATCTACCTCAAAGAGCTGTTGGGAGGTTGCAGTGATCTTAGTTGTGGCAGTGTTTTGGAAATTTTAGAGTAATCTAGATAGGTATGTAAGAAATGTTTATTCTTAATTGAAATGACCATCATCAGCTCAACAATAGGGCTGCTATTATTTGTTAGAAGCCTTTATGTGCTAAGCCCACTGTACCAAGAGCTTTACCCTTTTCATTTAATTTAACCTCGTAGCAATCCTCATGAGAGACATACTTTTTTAATCTTCATTATACAGATGAGAAGATAGAGGTTCAGGAAATATATGTGACTTATCCAAGATGCATGGTTAGCAAGCTGCTAAGGCATGATCCAGTTATGGTTTTTTGAAAAGGGGCGTGTGCTCTTGGCCACCATTCTCTTCTGGAATTAGAAGAATAAAGTGTTGTCTGCAGACATCCTGGAATGGAAGAGGTTTTTTGAAAAGGGGCTTGTGCTCTTGGCCACCATTCTCTTCTGGAATTAGAAGAGTAAAGTGTTGTCTGCAGATATCCTGGAATGGAAGAGACCATGGATGGAGAGGGCACTACCTTTAATGAACTCTGTTGGCAAGTCATACTAAGCCAGTTCATTTGATAGCGTCTCATTCTTGTTATTATACTATAGCCTCTCAAGGCAGGCAGGTGTTATTCTCCCCATTTTACAGGTGAGGCAGCTGAGGCTCAGAGATTTAAGTCCCCTACCCAACATCACACAGCTAGTGCCAGAGCTGAGACTATGATTGTGTTCTTCTTGCCTGGAACAGTGTGGTTCATTCCTTTCTTTTTCTTTTTCTTTTTTTTTTTCTTTTTGGAGATGGTGTTTTGCTCTGTCGCCCAGGCTGGAGTGCGGTGGCACAATCTCGGCTCATTGCAACCTCTGCCTCCAGGGTTCAAGCAATTCTCCTGCCTCAGCCTCCCAAGTAGCTGGAATTACAGGTGCCTGCTACCATGCCCAGCTAATTTTTGTATTTTTAGTAGAGATGGGGTTTCACCATGTTGGCCAGGCTGGTCTCGAACTCCTAACCTCAGGTGGTCTGCCGCCTCGGCTTCCCAAAATGTTGGGATTATAGGCGTGAGCCACCACACCAGGCCTTATTCCTTTCTTTACTGTCCAGTCAGTCTGTCATCCAGTTCTGTCCTAGAATATTTCTAGAGACAGAGGGGGCAGAAAAGACTTCAGAAGGATGAAATGGGCAGGGAAGACTTCTTGGAGATGGAGGCACGAAGGAAGTGTTGCAGGAGAGTCAAAATCTGGTGGTCTTGGGTCGGAGCCCACACTTGCCGTTCTGCTGCCTTGAGGAAGGGAGTGGCTAGAGTTCCTTCTCTCTGCCCAGAGATCAGGAGGGAAGAAGGCTGTGGGGCTGCCAGGTTATTAGTGGATTAGGGCTTCCTTTTAAAGCTTCCTCCCATTACCGCCAAAGGATTATAAGCATCTTCAGACAATTACATCCATCCTTCCGCAATTATACCTGCCTCTCTAGAGGGCTCACAGGCAGGTTTAAGTATGAGCCACAATATCTTCTGCTTTGGGCACTGCAGATACCTTTGTTTGAGGTCAGTGGGTACCAGTGCCATTTCTCCAAGGCCTGAGTACCAGCTGAGCAGGGCAATGTAGGGCCCTTGGCAGGCTATAGGGATGGAAGGTACAGAGAGATGCCATCAGCTGCTGCCAATTTGGGAAAATAGATCTGGGGAGGAAGGGGTAGTGTAGAGCTCATGATCAGGCCTCAGCCAACACTAGGGTCCCCAGCTCACCAAGACAGCCCCATGCTATAGCTGCCCTCCCCAAAGTCTCAGCTGGTCATAACTGGTAGGGTTTCTTGAGATTGTTGTGCAGATGGAGACTTTGAGGGCCAGAGACGGCAAGTGACTTGTCCAAAGTCACACAGTAAGTTGGTGGCAAAGCTAGGGGCTGGAACCCAGGGTTTATGCCTCCCAGTTCAGCTGCCCGGCACTGTGCTAAATGCGTCATATGGAGTATTTAATCCTCTAAACAATCCTGTGAAGTTCATACTTTTCTTATCTCTGTTTTACAGATGAGGAAACTAAGGCATAAGGAGTTTAAGTGAATTGTCAAAGTCTCACAGCCTGTGGGTGGAGGAGCTGAGATTTGAACCCCAGGAGGTCTGGGGCCATGCTTTTAACCACCCTCTCTGCTGCCTGTCTCCATGGTGATGAGGCAGCAGGCTGTGTTCTTCCACCCACCTGGGGCTGGGAAAAGGTTGTTCAGGCTCTGGGAGTTGTTGGAAGATTCTGCCAAGCCACATTCCCTCCCACTCGGATGCTCTGGGGGAAACCTGGGTACTCGCTGATGATCCCTCCCCGCCTTTGCTGGTGGCCACTTGTTATTGGAGGCTCAAGGTGTGTAGCAGATTTAGAGCCATTTCCAACTCTAGTGGACACTGTTCTGAGCCTCTGGGGTGGGGAGGGGTGTGGCTCTGTGTTGTCAGATGAGTCCTGCCACCGGACATGTCCGTTTTGTTCAGGCAGAGGAACCTGTGTCCGTGTTAACAGCTGACAGTGGTCACTGGGCCCAGAACAAGGCTCCTGCTCCTCAGGCTGTGACAGAGAGGGCAGATGGAGCAGGAGCCTGGGCAGGAAGCTGCCCACTCCCCCTCAATTCCCCTGCTCCACAGTGATGGTGACAGGAGGGTGATGGTGAGGAGCACTGCTCACAGGTTCACAGATACCTCACCATGCACTCACACATACATGCTTTCACATCCATCCATACACACATGTATTCACACATGATGTATAGATGCCATGTTCTCATGCAAACCATCACACATATGCACTCACACATCTGCACACACATGGAGGCCCTCAGACACACATCCATGCATGTAGTACACACCGGCACACACCTTCCTGAAGGCCCCCTCACCCATGCACCGTTGCCACATGCGAACACATGTCTCAGATTTGCTTACAGAGCTGCAGTCGCATCTGAAAACATAAGCAGACATAGGCACACTTTCTCACACAAACACACATATTCCCTCTCATAGATACAGGTGAAAAGCATGTTCTTTTCTCCGTTTCCTTTTGCTACACACCTACACTTTGAAATCTTTCACACATTCTCTCCTACAGACCTAGCCACACTTGCACACCCACTGTCACACACCTACGCACAGACCGAACCACTTTCTTTCCTTTCTTTTCCACATCTCTTTCTCTTTCATACCACCCACACAGCAATCCTAGCCTCTCTCTCTCTTTTCCTCTCACCCACACACAGCTTCCTGGTTTCCCACAGGCTGGGCTGCAGCCACTTCCCTAGAACAGGCACTCTCAGGGTTAGCGATACCCCAACCTGGTGGGGGTCCTAGGATCCCCCCTCCACCCCTCACTCTCCCAACCCACCCCCTACCCTGGATACAAGAGGATGAGAGCAGAGCAGCCACACGATCAGAGTAATTCTCTGAAGCCCACGAGGCCAGGAGGAGAAATGGGAACTACCAGGGAGGGTTTGCCCCTTGTCACCTGACTTCCTGCATTCTGAGTCTCCCCAGTGTGAACAGGGGACATCCCAAACCCGGGCCACCTGCAGGTCTGTGTTTCACAGGCCCTTGGGTG